CCCCTCAAATATCTCTCTCTTAAATTCCTTCTCTCGCATGGCTCTTTCCTTGTCTCTAAAGGTTATGTTCATGAAATAATTTGAAATTTGACCAAGCAAAATGGGCAATACAAAAGAAACATGTCGGAAAAAGAGAAGGCAAACTTCTCTCACTTAATATGTAGTAGATAGATATATTATATAAGATACATGGGAAAATATAGAATGAGATCATTTACCTTTGGGACAAGGTGGTCACATTAATCTTGACCATTGTATGTGTAATTTGGTGGCTGCAATTATTCCATTGACCAAGCTCAAATTGTAAAATAATTTTTCTCGAACTTTGTGACACATCCAAGTTATCAAATTTCACATTGGATGGGTGTAAGTAAATGTGATAGGGTCGTTGTGGTAGCATCCTCACAACCACATTATGGTTTCCATCCCTATCAACAACACCACCCCACTAATATCTTCAAAAATCTAACTCCTAATCTACTTAAATAAATTGGTAGGGGCCTATCTTCCCCACTGAATTACCAAAAAAAAAAAGAAGAAGAAGGGTAGGGGCCTACTTTCCCCATTGAATTACCAAAAAAAAAAGAAGAAGAAAGGTAGGGGCCTACTTTATTTCCGCACTGAATTACCAAAAAAAAGAAGAGGAAGGGTAGGGGCCTACTTTCCCCACTGAATTACTAAAAAGGAAGAAGAAGGTAAATGGTTTCATTATATACCACTAACACCTTCAAAACTCTAACTCTTAATCTACTTAGTGTCAAGACAAGTAATGATTAAAAAATTAAACACAATACAATATGGAGAGAGATTAAACACAATATAATATGGAGAGAAAAGAACAGAGAACAGAGATAACACAAGATTTATGTGGTTCAGGCCGAAGCCTTACGTCCACAGATTCAAAGCCCAATAGCTACATCTTCACTATTTTTTATGTATCTTTACATCAAAAGTATATCTATATATAGAGGACAATCACACAATTAGAAAAGCTAATTATGGTATGATAATACCTAACCTTATCAAGAGATTTATACATGTACATCCATAATGATGTATGTCAACATGAACCGAGATATCTATATCCCAACACTCCCCCTCAAACTCAAAATTATTTGAAACAAAGCAGCTCAAGTTTGAACAATATTAAATTGTAAAAAAATGCTCTCTACTTTCTTCTCTGAAGATCTTCTCTCTTCAAAGGCTTATCGGAAGATCTTATCTCTTAAGAGGCTTCTCTGAAGATCTTCTCTCTTAAGAGGCTTATCTGAAAATTTTCTCTCTTCATAGGCTTCTCGGAAGATCTGTTCTCTTCAGAAGCTTCTCTGAAGATCTTCTATCTTCATAGGCTCTCTGAAGATCTTCTCTCTTCAGCGGTTTCTTTTCTTTCTATAAACTTTCTCTCTTTAAAAAAACTGATATTTTTATCTCTCTCTCTCTTCTTCTTTTGTTTTCTCTGCAAAAGAAAGCTCCTTATATTTTTTCCAATACACCAAGAAGAAATAACAGGCCATCGCAACATCCGGGCTCGAGTAACGAAAAACTCGATCATCACACGAGATGGAGCAACAAAAAACTCCATCCATCTCCTCTCTCTCTACAACTTACATGTTCCCCTTTTTCTCTCTCCTACTCTATCTCTAAAAACACAAACACAGACTCTCTTTAACACAACCTCTCTCTTTCTTCTTCCAGTTAATGGTTTGCTTTCTCAATCTCTGCCTCTCTAAGAGGATCTCGCGGCACAAAACCCGCTGCTTATAAATGGAAAACCAGGAGTAGTTTTCTAACACCATGATGGAAGGGCCTAACGGCATGATGGAAGGCCCCAAGAACCAGAAGCTAACCAATAATGGCAATATGTACGAAGGCGATATGTATGAAGGCGAATTCCATCAAATGAGGAGCTCAGGAGTGGGGTTTATTACTATTATGAAAGTGGGAGATATGAAGGGGATTAGATTGATGGTAAGTATGATGGCTATGGAATTGAGACTTGGGCACAAGGGAGTAGGTACAGAGGTCAGTATAGACAAGGAACAGGAATGAGACATGGATATGGAATTTATAGGTTTTAACATGGAATAGTTATGCAGGTGAACGGTGTAATGGACAGAGCCATGGCTGTGGGGTTTAGTCCTGTGAGGATGGAAGCCGATACGTTAGAAACAGAAAATCATAAACATGAGCGTGAACCAAAAACCTCAGAAACAGGAGCCAGAAACAAATCAATGAGTGTGAATCAAAAATCTTAGAAACAGGAGCCAGAAACAAATCGTGACGTTGCTTTGATACCATATTAGAATTCGTGGGAGCATAGAATTGAGAGAGAACAGAGATAACACAAGATTTACGTGGTTCAGGCCGAAGCCTTATGTCCACTAATCCAAAGCCCAATGGTTACATCTTCATTATTTTTTATGAATCTTTACATTAAAAGTACTTCCATATATAGAGGACAATCACACAATTAGAAAAGATAATTATGGTATGATAATACCTAACTTTATCAAGAGATATATACATGTACATCCATAATGATGTATGTTAATATGAACCTGAAATATCTATATCCCAACACTCCCCCTCAAACTCAACATTATTTGAAACAAAACAGCTCGAGTTTGAACAATACTAAATTGTAAAAAAAAAAATTCACAGGTTACCATGGACTTCCAAGAAACAACCTTTATTGGGCTCTCTACTTTCTTCTCTAAAGATCTTCTCTCTTCAGAGGCTTATCTGAAGATCTTATCTCTTAAGAGGCTTCTCTGAAGATCTTCTCTCTTAAGAGGCTTATCTAAAGATTTTCTCTTTTCATAGGATTCTCTGAAGATCTTTTCTCTTAAGAGGCTTATCTGAAGATCTTCTCTCCTCATAGGCTTCTCTGAAGATCTTATTTCTTCAGAAGTTTCTCTTCTTTCTATAAACTTTCTCTCTCTAAACAAAACTGATATTTTTATCTCTCTCTCTTCTTTTTTTGTTTTCTCTGCAAAAGAAAACTCCTTATATTTTTCCCAATATACCAAGAAGAAATAACAGGACATCGGAACATCCGGGCTCGAATAACGAAAAATTCGATCATCACACGAGATGGAGCAACGAAAAACTCCATCCATCTCCTTTCTCTCTGCAACTTGCAGGTTCATCTTTCTCTCTCTCCTAGTCTCTCTATAAAAACACAAACACAGTCTCTCTCTAACAAGACCTCTCTCTTTCTTCTTCCATTTAATGGTTTGCTTTCTAATCTCTGCCTCTTTAAGAGGATCTCGTGGTACAGAATCAGCTGCTTATAAATGGAAAAATCAGAAGCAGTTTTCTAATACCATGATGGAAGGCCCTAACACCATGATGGAAGGACCGAAGAACCAGAAGCTAACCAGTAATGGCAATATGTATGAAAGTGATATGTACGAAGGTGAATACCATCAAATGAGGAGCTCATGAAGTGGGGTTTATTACTATTATGAAAGTGGGAGATATGAAGGGGATTGGATTGATGGTAAGAATGATGGCTATGGAATTGAGACTTGGGCACGAGGGACAGGTACAGAGGTCGGTATAGACAAGGAACGGGAATGAGACATGGATATGGAGTTTATAGGTTTTAACATGCAATAGTTATGCAGGTGAATGGTGTAACAGATAGAGCCATGGTTGTGGGGTTTAGTCCTTGTGAGGATGGAAGCCAATATGTTAGAAACAGAAAATAAAAAACATGAGCGTGAACCAAAGACCTCAGAAACAAGAGCCGAAAACAAATCGATGAGCGTGAACCAAAAATCTTAGAAACAGGAGCCAAAAACAAATCGTGACTTTGCTCCGATACCATATTAGAATTTGTGGGAGCATAGAATGGAGAGAGAAGAAGAGAGAACATAGATAACACAAGATTTACGTGGTTCGGGCCGAAGCCTTACGTCTACGGATCTAAAGCCCAATGGCTACATCTTCATTATTTTTGATGAATCTTTACATCAAAAGTACCTTTATATAGAGAGGACAATCACACAATTAGATAAGATAATTATGGTATGATAATACCTAACCTTATCAAGAGATATATACATATACATCTATAATAATGTATATCAATATGAACCCGAGATATCTATATCCCAACAGGTGCGATACCTTATTATGAGTTAATATATATCAATATGAACTCGAGATATCTATATTCCAACAGGTGCAATACCTTATTATAAAACTCATGTTTCATCCAAATATCAGATAGAGTCGACGAATGAATCAGGTTCATTAACAAGATTAGAAGTGGAAAAAAATAACTCATGTTTCATCCAAACATCATATAGAGTCGACGAATGAATCAGGTTCATTAACAATTCCCATATTAGAAGTGGCCAAAAAGAAATCATTGACTTCCTTGCCATATGCCCTCGGGAATTTCTCTATCATTTAATAAAAGTTTGGAACCTTACGTTACAAATTGGTGGAATACCAACCAATACAAAACTTTCTTGAATGAACTTCAAGAAAATAACGTTCTTGAAAGATTCATAAAATGAGAAGAACTATTCATATTGGACGAAATGATAAGGGATTATCCGTACACATATATAAAAGCTTCGTATAAGAATCCATAAAAAAACGATAGAATTGGTAAAAATATACAAGATTATATCCATATAATTTCGTATTTCTCGACAAATGTAATGAGTTTTGCTATTCTAAGTATTTACACCTTAAAAAATCTAACTCTTACTTAAAAAAAACTGGTAGAGGCCTCTTCCCCACTAAATTACCCAAAAGAAGAACAAGAAGGTAAATGGTCTGTTGTATATAACCCGTAATATATATATTTTATATATAGACCTGGAGCCATCCCGACCCAATTGATCAATCAGATTGACTTAACCCAATCTGACCCGACCGGACCCGACCCACCCCTACCTTCGGCTACTAGCCCCTCCGTCAATTTCCCACTTGCTTAGTTTCCCTCTCTCACTACTCGAAATATTAACTCCTCTCTCCTTTTCCCTCCTTGACTACGAACCTTCATTTTTAACGCTCTCCACTTTACGGAAGAATTTCCATTAGGTTTTCCCTCTCCTCTCTCCTCTCTTCTCTCTCTCTCCACTTCTCTGTCTCTCTAACAAAAAGGCACCCAGTCATTTCAGAGCTTTAGGGCGAGCACAGAGCGAAGAGGGAGGGGGAATGGGAATGGGAATGGGAATGGGAATGGGAATGGGAATGGTTTCAGCAACCAAGGATGCGAGGATCAAGTGCACAGGGAGACCGAGAGATGATCTATTGTTGATCACAATGTGCCTCATAGGCTTGCCTGTTCAAGTCCAGGTCAAAGATGGCTCCATTTATGATGGGATCTTTCACACTGCTTCTGTTCACAAGGAATATGGTATTCTTTCATTCCGATCTCTGCTTGTCGTCAATTATGTTTTTCTCCATCTAAGAAATTTTCGTTTATTTTTGTTTTCTTGTTTTTATGTTTTCGTGTTTGGTTTTTCCATATACTGTGTGGATATTTTCGTTGTGGGCGCGTGTAATCTTGACATGAACATTTGGGATTGATGCTGGAATTATTGTCTCATTTTGATCCTGAACCCATCAGTTTTATAAATTATAAATTGCCTTAAAATATGAAATGCTAGACAATTTGATACTTTTATTGTTCTTACAGTGATCGTGAGGTAGAGATCTTAGGTGGGTATATGACTATTGTGGGTCGTTTGTGCTATCACACTCTTTGTGTATTTACTTTATTTCTTTCCCCATCAAAAGAATTTTCATATTTTCACCTTGAGTATTGAATCTAGTCTTTTGGTTTTCTACAAGTGTGGTTATGTCCAACGTGGTCTCATTATGGTATGTATTTGGAGTTTATGTTTATTGACTTCTATGGTAATTTCTCAGTGATCTTCTTGTGTGATCACTGGGAGTCATTACTTGTTTCAGATATGATCAAATGTGTTGTAAATTTGCATTTTCTCATCTTATTCTTGCCCAAATCAAGTTGTGATTCTATATTGAAATGCTTATGTGAAAATATGGCGACTCATGTTTTCCTTAGGTTGATCATACATTTGTTTTTCTAAATAGCTTCTCGCATTTTCTCCGTCTGGTTTTTCTTGATAAGAAAACATTTGTTCTATTGAAACAATGAAAATCTGGTGGTATGATTCTAATGGATTGGGCTCATTTTGCCATTTGTTTATTTCTTCTGTCTATATCTTATCGTACTGTTTATTTTATTACAGGGATTGTACTGAAAAACGCGAGGATGGTTAGGAAAGGAAAAATCAATGTGAACTTACGAAGAAGTCCTCTTATAAATACTTTGGTTGTTCTCTCCAAAGACCTTGTTCAAGTGCTGGCAAAGGTTAGGAGCATGATGTTGTGGTTATTTTATTTTGCATTGCATGATATTTATTGCTGCTTAATTTCATTTATTTTTGGTTTATTCTTAGGATATTCCACTACCTGCAGATGGACTTTTTGATAGCGTAGGTGGTGAAAATGCAGAAGTTATGATTGGGTCTGTCAGTGCTCAATCTTGCCTTAATGAATCTGAGAACGGAGCAGATGTGCCAAACTTTGACAATGGTGCAATTCAAAACTCTGCACTAGAGACTACCCTTTCAAATGGCTCGGATGAGTAAGTGACTGACCTGAATGTGTTTCTAAAGTCTCTTAACTAACATTAAAGCAAAATTGTTTCTTAACCGAAGGATTCCCCCTGCAAGGTTTATTGCACTTGTCAATAGTGATCTAACCAGTGTGTTTAATTGTCGATAGAGATAGTTCCACTAGGTTTTGAAGGAATCATATTTCAAATTTGATGCACATGAAATGTACATGATTTATAAACACAATGTATGACTAGCACGGAGATCCAATATGATAGCCAGTGATTTATTACGACTTATTTACATGTGAAGTTGATCTTCCTGGTTTTCACTTCTTGGTCTAAATATTTATTGTTAGCTCTGTAATATAAATGGGTGATTAACTTTGTTTACAATTGAATATCCTCAGGAACTTGCACCACATAGATGAAAATACTGCCATTTCAGATCTGAAACATAAATTGGAGAACAATGCATTTGCAAAACTTGATAAGGAAATAGAATTGAGAAGTACTGCTTCAAAACCTTTGGAAATGGGTCATGAAATTGAAGTGATGAATAACAGTTGCTCGATGCAGGTAATTGTATTTGACATCTTAAATAGGTTTGCTTTCATTGGTTACATGCATATACTTGGATTTGTATCCATATAATAGACTCTACTATTTTTCACTATGAGAGAATGAGGTGATAACATTTCTTTATCAAGCTGAATTCTCCAAAAAAAGGAATCGGGTTCTATGTCTTGATGATTATATTCAGCAACTTTAAGATGCTTCAAAGCTTTCATCCAATTTACTTCTGCTTATGTCTCTCGGGATATTTTTGTGGATCAAAGTAAGTTTCCTATATTTGCTGGTAAAGTTTATTTTGGCAGTTGCACAATGTGTGGTCATTTTACATTCTAATGCTTCATTTCATTGATTGTCTGCATCTTTTGAGTTCTAGTTATGCATAACTGTAACTGTAAGGTTGGCCGCCATTTCAATTGTCTTAATAGTTGAACTAATTTTCTACATCTTGGATACGTAGATTTGTTGTGGCGGAGTCTCAGTTTTCTTTAAGTAGGGCCCAAAACATTGTCATGGCTTTCCCATCGTATAAAGGGATACCATGCAATGTAACTATTGGATATGTTTGAGAATTAAAGAATTGAGTCATTTTGGTCATCCTTTAGAAGAATGTGAAGGAAAATATTGCCATAACGGATCTAGCGACTGCAATTCTTTTGTTTCATGAATCTTTCAAGTACTCAGGGGCTCTATACATACACTCACACATAGAAAATATTTTTGGTAGCCCAAGTATGGAACAATTTTAGCCCTACTGCTCAGGTTAAATCTTGACAAGTCTTATGATCGGCATTGTTTGGACATTGTTTGGTTTTTAATACTTTCTTTTTACAAGTCTATATGACTTGAAATATTGGGAGTATGACAAGAGTGGGGATATGTTGGTCATTTTAATTTTTGTGTGCATATACTCTAGTTGGAGATGGTGAGATGCGGATACCCTCAAAATTTCAGGTCCATTAGATTTATAGAACAAATTTTTAAAATCAAACATTGAGCAGCTAGATTGGTCCTGATTCAATTAGGTCTAATACCAATATTTTTTTAAAAAAAAAAAAACGGATTGGTGACCCAGATGGCCCATCTGGAAAATTGGTCGGATCGGTTAGATAAAAAAATCACTTAAATTTCTTAAAAACTGTTTCTTATGTTTCTAAAGAAAATGGGGGTATTGCATTGTAGATTTCATTTTTTTATTGGAAATATGTAAACACTAAGAACCTATTTCATGCTTGGGTGTTTCTTGATCAAAGCAAAAGTTTTTTTAATTCTCCGTATGATCAAGATAGAAGTTTTTAACTCTCCATCTTATCATTTTTTCTAACAGGCCGATAAATTTATGCTTCATTTTCATCAAATTCTAGATCGGCCAGATCCGACCATAAAATTTAATGGCGATTTAAAAAATTTTAAGCCATCTCTGTCGCTACATTGGTCTAATCCACCGTTAAATTTTCTTTTGCTCAATTTTTCAAAAAATGCTGGGTGGCCCAGCTTGGCGCTCAGAACCTCAGGTGCTTTGTAGTATGAATGCTTTAGATTTATACATATATGTGCTGTCCAAACGCACATATATGCATATAAATGTGTCAATTTAGTAATTTATTGCAGTTTGTATGTATTGTAACATATTTTTTCAATACAAACATATTACATGTTAAGAATAAACTTGTTCAAAATTTTAAAATTCAAATCATAGAAAATTTTACAAAGTAAGAAGTTTAGTCTATGTATTAATAATAGTCTCCAAATCTCCATGTTCCATAATAGGATGGACTCCAACTCTCCAACCTCCAATACTACCCCAAAAATAATTCCAATGAGAAAAGAAAAGTTTAGGATGCTTCTTCAAACCACAAAAAATACTTTTGATTCTCAGAAATAAGTATAGCTAAGAGATTTAGGGTTTATGGAAGTGTTCTTTTAATTTTGGGGGTTGAAAATAACCCCTCTAATCTATTTGTACTTTTTTGGGGGTCAAAATTACCCCTTTTGCCCTTTTGGGCTTCTTTAAAAGTTAAAAAAAAGGCTCACGGCCATGGGGGCCTGCCCAAGTACAGCCGCCCAGACTGGGGTGCATAGGCCTAGGCATGTGAGCTGAGGTCTCTTGGGCACTTAGGCACTAGGTGGCCTATTTTTTAAATCCCTGGGCGGCCTGTTTTTTAAAACCTTGCTTTTGCTTTATTTTTCTAAATCATTTATTTTCTTTTCCCAGCACCGGTCTAAGCTTCTAGTTGGGCTCGATTTTATTTTGGCATGCTTTGAACGTGGTGATGGGAAAAGAAAAGAAAGGAAGGGTCACTCTTGAATGTGGTGGCTCTTGATTTGGGTGTCACTACTGCACATTGTGCCCATGGTATGTCTGTCTCGTTAATAATAGTGTTTAATTTTGATTAGAATTTCTTATTTGTAAAACAACATATGAATTTTACGTATACCCTTGCTTACCTATATCCCTATTGTTCGTCACCAAGAATGGAGAATGACGATATAACATATACCAAGTAACATTGAACTACTTCAGAGTTTTAGATCTACGAAATGAACATGTAGAATAATGTACAATATGTTTAGAGGAAAGTGAGCTTTAGACCCACATGGGGTAGTCCATGCATGGTTCCTGTTTACGAGAAAAGGGTTGTGTCCCTTTGCAACCCGTCTTTAAATGATAAAAAATCACCAAATAAAAATAGACTAGAAAAAATAAAATTTTAAGAAAAAAAATAAAATTTAAGGTAGGCTAGTTGTGCGGTCTCTGGTTTGACAGAATCGGTCGAGGGATCAGGTTGGTTCAGGGGGGGCGGGGGGGGGGGGGGAACTGGCTGGCTCGCGATCTTTAATGGGAATCAGCCCCACCATTTTTCGATTCAGATCAGGTGATTTCATTTCGGATCGGTGATTTTTAGAACTTTGGCTAATATTGTTCTATTGACCCTGTGGCTAACAAAACTTAAATGAAAGGTGTGGCTGTGTAGAATTCCAGAGCATAAATTTTAAAAAATTTCTTTATTTTCTTTAATAAAAGCTAGAATTTCTACTTACAAATGCAACAATGTGATGCAGAAATAAACCTACTGCACTCTGGGATCTTTTAAATCTTAATGCCCCCCAAAAAAAACTTTATTTAAAAATGAACTCCTTAGGAAAGAACTAGCAATAAGGAACATCAAAATAAATAAATCTGGGAAGACTTACTAAAATATTGCTTAAGGGTTACCCCCTTAGGACTTAGCACACACACTCGATCCCCTGACTGATGGTGTACTTGATCCTTAGATCCTATTGAATCCATCAATTTGAACTGGGAAGCACCTTTGGAACCTCCTTATCTGAAATATATAGGGCTCAGAGCATGAGTCACAAATAGGGTTTCTTAGACCCATTTTAAACCTTGGGGCATACCACTGAGTGGCACCCCAGCTTAGTCTAGTAATGGGCATGCCCCTTCTCTCCCCTCTTCTTTTTGAGTGGTGTGTGCCACCCAATATCCTTATAGGGGTGGCGTGCCACCTAGAGAGAGAGAGAGGAAATAAGAGAGAGAGAGAGGAGGCTAGAGTGTGT